ACCTAACTGAGTTTGTGAGTATATTGAGTGGTATTGTTAATCCGAATATGTGCGTTGGTAAGCCTAATTTATAAATTTATTTGTGCTTTTGGAGTTTATTTGCGGTTCATGTTCTGACTGTATTATTCATGTGTGTGTTTCATAGATGTTGTTGGCAAAATTGTCAACGTGAGAGAGTTGGTTTTTGTTCCTTCCGTGGAACATTCTCAAGGAGGATATTTTGAGCTGTACTTTGGTTTACGTGATACTGAGTAAGTCACTATTCTTTTAAAGATTTAAACCAGAATATAATGTCTTATATGACTTCTTCAAATCTTAAAATTAGGTGTATCCATCTAGAGTGTCGTTTAACGGGTGACCTTGCAGTCGAGTTCTATGACTTATGGAAGCATCGTTCACGTAACACAGTGATATGTATTATCAAGTTTGTGAAATTAGAACTATCACAGGAACATAGGTGGAGATGTACCAATGTTACCGGAAGTACGAGGATTATGTTGAATCCGGATCTCAGTATTACCGACGAGATGCTTTGTTGGTAAGTATTTTTTTTTTCCGTTTACAATCAAAACTCTAAAGTTGGCGACTGGACATTCACTGTTTATGGTGTTCTTAATCGGATGTCAGGAATCCTGAAAATGACCAAGTACCAATCATCACACGGAAGGAGAATGCCATGGAGTGATGATGTTCGTTGATTTCTTATTTTGTTGGTGAATGATTTTAAAAGATGATTTATTATTATTTTTTAGCATTTATAATATTATTGAATTTTTTAAATTTCATCATTTTCCATAATTTTACCACACTAAATCCTAAACAATTTACCATTTTTTTCTTACACTACCAAGTAACACCTAAACAATCCCTTATTTCACATGATTTTACCATTTATACAACATTCTTCCCGCGCATGCGCGCGGGCAATCACCTAGTTAAATTTATTTAAAATGTTAATTCAATCATTTCCTTGTTTATTTATCTTTGTAATTATTTTGGATTATGTAAATAAAAACAAAATCAGAAAATATTGTAAAGGAAGTAAAATTTAGATTTGAAGCTACACGTATATTGTTTCAAAAATCTAAAATATTATCAAATATAAGCATAAAATAAGCAAAACATAATAAAATATATTACAAATGTTTTCGTAAATATACATATTCATGATCTTAAGAAAACTGGATTTTAGCGACTACACTAAAAGTCGCTAAATAGTCGCTAAATGGTGGGTTACGACTAAATAGCGACTAAAACGTGTAGTCGTAAATCGAGAGTCGCTAAAATTAATAGTCGTTAAATTAGTCGCCATTTAGCGACTACTTTACGACTAATATTCGTAGTCGTAAATGTAGTCGTAGAGTAGTCGCCAAATTTAGTGACTAATTGACGACTATATTGTGACTTTGGTCTTAATTATGTATTTATATATTTATACAGTATTGTATTTATTTATACAGTATTTATGTATTTATACAATATTTATGTATTTATACAATATTTATGTATTTATACAGTATTTAGGTATTTATTTCAGTAAAAATATTTATATTTTTACTAAATTATTTTATAATACGTTTTTGGAAGGTACTGCTATTAGTAATAAAAATTATACATTTAAAAGAAAACCATATTACAAATAAAACTAAAAACATTATTAAAAATAAAATTACATCATCCTCCTAAAATCATAATTAACACAAAGCAGATAACAATTTTTAAGAAAAAACTTGGCTTAATTAACTCTTTTGATTTCAATTCTTCTTCCTTGTCTTACTCTTTCATGCTTTTTCTGCTCCAAAAACGGCCTCATGGTTATTTCTACCGGAAGAAAATGATGACACGCCAACAAGATCTATTATCCAACTCTACAATACAAACACACATAAGACCAAAGCATCAAAGGCTATATCAATATGAGCTGAAATTAAAACAGCAAAGAACTTGACGAGATACGCCAAAACAGTTCTTAAGCAAGCATCATCTAGGCAACTTAATCTCCGGACATCACAATCAAGAACTTGAATATCTACATTATCCAGAGAAACATATGTAAATTTATTGGTCAGATGGAAAAAGATGTCCAATCCTTAGCCTACAAGAGAAATCGAGATAAAGTAAGCAAATATCAAAACTTACCAATCCAAGCAGTAGCAACATATGCTAAAGAAGTTCCAACTGCAAACACGACCATGTGCCTCTTGAACAAGTCCTAAGTGATTAAACAAAACTACATTTAAGCAATTATATACATAATTGTTTGTAAAAACTTTGGTAATCCTCCTTACCAGTCTTGATTTCTCGTCCCAATCAAACCTGCAACATATGTGATAACATCTCAAACACAGCATGAAGACTGATACGACATCACACAATCAGACTTCTTTTTAACATTCAACCAATCAGACTTCTTTTTAAAACAATCAAACAAAGAATCAGACTTCTTCTTAAAAAGAATCAGACTTCTTTTTCAAACCAGTCTTGACTTATTGAAAACAACCAGACTTTTTGAAATCAATCAAACTTTTTGAAAACAATCAAACTTTTTAAAAACAATCTATCCTAAGACACACAATTAGACTTCTATCCTAAGCCACACAAAACAATAAGAACAAGCAAACAATCAAACACACAAAACATTTTGAAAACAATCAGACTTCTTCTATCCTAAAACACACTAAGCAATCAGAAAAAACCACTATAGAAGGCGCCAAGAGTCATACCACGTCGTGACTGGCAACGGAGTTGGAGAGAGAACGGTTGTAAACAGATGACGGTCCGGCACCATAAGCAGAGCAGTCAGAGCCTCAAGCGTATCCTCCTGGAGATCCGGCAATTCGTTGTGGAAGTTGTTACCTTGAGAGGAACAGCCAAACGCGTGACTCTGACACTACAGGAAAACAAGCCTTTTGCGACTACTTTTTGTGACTCTTTTGTTGGTCGCAAATATTTACGACGATATTGTTACCATATAGTGACTCTTTAACGACTACGTTAAAAGTAGACGCATATTTGTCGCCAATTTACGACGCCAACGATTAGTCTCTGCTTAGTCGCCAATTACCGACCATTTTGCTACGATTTTAAGACCGGTCCAAAAAAGGTCCTATTTTGCGACTAATTTGGGACGGAAAGAACGGGGTTACAAAACATCGTCGCTAAAGGGTCACAATATAGGACTTATTTGTTACTTTTTTGTATCGTCACAAATCCGTCGCAAAGATCTAGTGACTATTTAGCGACTAACACCTGAGACTGGGACTCTTTTCTCACCTATTAGCGACTCCCGATATTTAGATAAACATTTACCATGTTAGATTTTGAATTCTCGTAATATTAGATGTGTTTAGTATGATCTTAACAATTATAGACAGTGAATACATCGTATGCCATACAAAACTTCATGTTTTCTAATGTGATCTCAAATATCTAAAACATTACATAATCATATAAGTAATGTTTACTAAAGCTTTTCAAAGATCATAACTCAAATGGATTTCATGGTTTTACTCATTTAATTGATCAATCTTGTTCTATAATCGTAATTTCATTTATTCTCAACACTTAAGATCAATTTATTTGCCTCTTAAGCTACAAAATCCTTGACAAATAGTTTGTGACTCTTGAAATATAGTCACAATTCCGTCACTCTTTGCGACTTGCGTTTTAGTGTAGTCACAAATTAGTCTCATATTACCAACGCTCTAGTGACTATTTAGCGACTAACACCTGAGACTGGGACTCTTTTCTCACCTATTAGCGACTCTCGATATTTAGATAAACATTTACCATGTTAGATTTTGAATTCTCGTAATATTAGATGTGTTTAGTATGATCTTAACAATTATAGACAGTGAATACATCGTATGCCATACAAAACTTCATGTTTTCTAATGTGATCTCAAATATCTAAAACATTACATAATCATATAAGTAATGTTTACTAATACTTTTGAAATGTCCTAAATTCATTGAGTTTCATGTTTTCTCTAATATAAATGATTGATCTTGTTGTGTATTGTAATATTATTGGTTCTAACACTATAAATTGATTTTCTTTGGTTCTAAAACTTTTAAATTCATAAGAATAGGTTGTGACCCTTAAGAAAATCGTCACAAAACGGTAACTAATTTGCGACGGAAACTTATGAGAGTTACAAATAAGTCTTAAATTACCCACATATATGCTACTTATTTGCGACTAACACCTGAATTTGAGTCGATTTTGTAACCGTTTAGCGACGCTCGCGATTTTATTTTGAGATTTACCAATAGAGATTTCTCAATATGTTAAGTTTCAAGGTTTCTACATTAATTTGAACTATTGTAGGTATTGAATCATTCTAATAGCTTAAGTTTTATATGATTTATAGAAACTTTCATAACATTACATCATAAACTTAAAACAAACTCATTCGACACTTAGTTATTGTCGACACTTAGTTATTATCGACACAACTCTTAAACAAACTTCTAATCATAAAATTATATCATAAACCAAAATTTAAATATTAATCAAAACTAAAATCCAATACTTAGACGACTATCTAACAAATCTAAAATAATGTCTTGTAACTCATGAGTGTCGTCACAAAAGTGTCACTCTATTGCGACCGACTTGGGACCGGTTTGTGATTTTTACCAAAATTTAGGGTTTTCGATTAGGCGGTAATTAATCCCTCGTGTTTTTTTAGGTGCGACTAAGTTCACACGGTTTTGCGACTCCTTTTCTTTTATTTCTACCACTGCAAAGTCACAAACACAAACACTTAGCTTCTTTCTTCGATATCTCCGCCTCCTTCTTCGATTTCTTCGATTCTTCCTCTTCCATTCTCTTCGATTCTTCCTCTTTTCTCATCGATTCTTCCTCTTTTCTCTTCGATTCTTCCTCTCTTCTTCGATTCGATTACTCGTCTCTTCGATTCCTCTTCGAAGCTTCTTCAATTTGTTCCTTCTCTCTCACTCCTTTCTCTCTCTGTTCTCTGTAATGGCGCCTACCGGAAAGGGGAAAGCAAGTAGAGGCCGTGGTGGTGGGAGATCCGGAGTGAATGCAGAGAAGAAGGGGCCGACGTGATGCTGAGATTCGATCGAACCTACATGCCTCTCTTGCTTATGAAACTCGAATTGAAGATTCGTTCTCTTTGTGGTCTCAACAAGCCTAAGTGTATTGAATGCGGCAACGTCGCTCCAGCCTCCAGGTAAGTCCCTTTCTCTCTTGCCCTTACTTAAACCAATTAGAAAGACTTCTATTGTTTAAGCCTATTTTGAGAAAATACAGTAACACTAACCTTCACTCTGTTGTTTTTTAGTATTCTTCCTTGAAGTGTGTGGAACAATGTTTGACTCTCACTATGGATTTTTTTATTTATTGAAAATGGTAAAGATAGGGATTCTGACGCAGGTGAGTCCCTTTGATTTTCTGATAGTTTTTCATGAAGTGCAAACATGAATTGTTACCTAGAGGAAACCATAGTGAATTCTTTAATAGCAAACATTAATCTGGTTTAGTATAAGCAGTGATCTTTGAAATCTGCAGACTTTCATGTGGAAGATTCAAAAATAACATTGAATGTTTGTTTGAGTAAACAAGGAGAGGGAGGGGAAATATTTTTTGCAGGCACACAATGCAAGAAACATATGGATACAGATTCAAAGCCAGAGGTATAAATGTTACTTCTTTTTTCAATTTGCTTCAGTTGGATTTGTGATCCGTGTAACTGTCTATAGGTAAGCTTTTTACTTACCTCTCTATTTGACGTTTTCAGCAACTAATTTGCATATCCACGAAGCTTTTTTTTTCTTCATAATTTAGGGATATATTGTGTTAGTGTGTAAACATTTATCTAAATTTGCATATACACGAAGTAATTCATATATATTTGCATATACTAGATTTGACAATCAATCTTTGTTTTTTCACAATCTCTGATTTTTGAAGTGACTTGGATACTGAGAATTTTTGTAACTATGCTCTTCCTTTTCAGGTCAGGATCCTTCACTCGCTAAATCATCCAAACATACTCAAGTTCTATGATTGGTTAGACTTACTAGCTAATATCCACGACATGTTTTCTTGTAGGCCAATTACTCTCACTCTTCTTTGAAAAAACGCAGCTTCTTGTGTTCTCTGTGAAGTATGTTCTTCATGGTAATTCATGGTCTCTAGTTAAGTTGTGTTCGCTTTTTTTTTGTCTCAGATTTAGCTGTAGTAGGCAGTGGTAAGAAACTTTGCTGCTCCAAATACCTTTTCTAGCTTATCCATTCTCTGCTTTTTTAGATTTTGTTTATTCATTCTATGAAGAGAATGCTTGACGTGATGCGGAGCAACAAGCATCTCAAATTCGGATTGCAAACTTGGAGAGGCTTGTTATGTATTGGAAAGAGAGTGATCCTGCCTTTGCAGCTTTTGTTGCATCTCAGCCACAACCAACTGCACCAGCCAACACACAAGCCGCCAATGCAACAACCACCAATACAACAGCCACCGCCAATGCACCAGCCACTGCACCAACAGGAACCGTCGCAGCCACAACAACACCTTCTTCATCCTTCTAAGTGCTTTTGTACTTTTTTTCTCTCTTATGAACATGATGAATATTGTTAATGTTTAAGGTTATGTAAGGCTTTTGATTACATTAGGGCTTTTGGTTAGCAACATTAAGGATTTGATTAGCAACATTTGGATTTATATGAATTTGATTTTGTTATTTTTAGAATAAAAATATAGCTTATTTGCGACTAATTAATAGTCTCTCAAAACCCAAATTAGTCTCAATTAAACGACTGTAATGTTTGTCACTAATTAGTCGCTAACTAACAGGCGTAGCTAAGACGTCGTAAATATACGACTCTTAATGCCAGTCTTTATGTCGTCGCTTATCTGCGATGACATAAATAAGTCTCAATACCGTCGCAAATATGCGACTACATTGCGACCATTTAATTTAGCGACCGTTTTTTAGCGACCAACTTTAGTAGTCGCAAAGAAGTCGCAAACAACGATTAGCGACCGTTTAAGGACTCGTTTGGGAGTCGCAAAAGACATGTTTTCTTGTAGTGTGAGCCTCAGAGTTCTGATGTGGAGACGGAGGAGGATCCTGCTTTGGAGACAGAGGAGGATCCTGCTGCGGAGAAAGAGGCTGTCGGTGTTAAGTCGTTTGCTGTGGACGCTGTCGCTGACGAGGCACAGATTTTTAGGTCTACGGTTTGCAGCGGTGGAACCAACGGCTCTCTGAGACGCGTTGGGAGCATTTCTTCTCTTCCGGCCTCGCTTACCAGTCATCTTGTTCCGGATTCGTAGGAAACAGAGTGAAGAGACGAAGGGTCAGACGAATTGCTTCGCGAATCGAGGAATTAGGGTTTGATTTGAGGAAGTTTTGGGGAAGAAATGGAGATTAGGGTTCGATTTGAGGAAGAGGAAGAGGAAGAATCGAGGAATTAGGGTTTAATTTGTTTGAGAGAAAGAGTAAGAATCGAGAAGAAGAATGAGGAAGATGACTTAGGGTTTGCGAAAGAGGAAGATGACTTAGGAATTCTCGGGGTGGAGGTGAGTTTAGTTGGGCCTGGGCCGACTTCGTTTTAGTTGGGCTTTGTTACGCTGGATCCATTAGCCTAGTTATTTTTATTAGTCGGAATTTAGTAGCTAAATAGTCGTTAAAGGAATTTAGTAGTTAAGTTTAGGGTTTGAAGTATAGGATTTGGGGTTTAAGTTTAAGATTTGGGGTTAAGTTTTGATTAAAAATAAGATTTGGAAAACTATAATTTTTTATAAGTGTTAGTTTTCAGTTTATGGATATATTATTGTAACTAGATAATTTTTTTGAATTTTGAGATTTAAAGTTTTGTATTTAGGTTTTAGAAAAAAATGGTGAAGTTTGATTAT